AGCTACAATACTCAACAGAGCTCACAGTTCAAACAAAATTGATCTCTGCCCTTTATCCTCATTAGTTATCAGCTGTAGATTTGCAAAGTTCTGATGATACAGATCACAGAGAGTACAGACTTTTCATAGAAGAGGTCAATCACATGATATATCTGAAAGTCTGGAAACTGTGAGTCTGGGGTACTTAAATATAGGTGTGATTAAGTGAGATATCTCCAATCTGTGTAAACTGGGATTTTCCTACATATTCTTACCTCTAATAACAGAAAAATTGATAATAGGAATAGCACAAACTGTGCCAGAAAAATATATGTCTTAGTATTTTAGTGAACAAATAGTGATTATCTTCGTTTGATATAGTTTTCAAAATGTTCTTCAGACTGAGAAGCAAGAGATGCAGGTTTGTTCCTTTTTTCATTATGAAATGAAGGTAAAGAGGTGGTACCAAAAGCTCCAAGTAACAATTACAAGATCAAAACTAGATTTTGAAACTCCTGATTCAGTGCCTTTCAAAACCTAGGCATAAGTACAGTGGACCCTCAAGTTACAGCTGGCCTGACATATGAACAACTTGGGTTAATTAGGGTAATGGAAGATTCATCTGCCTCTTGTTATCTATAGCATGTACCAGGTAAACATCCAGATCTCAGCTGTATTGACTTAGTTACAACCAGCCCTCAGGAACTGATTGAGTTCATTAAGTCAAGGCCCCATTGTATTTACTAAGAGAAAGGACAGGATGGAGTAGAGAACTAGACCCTAGGTTCAAAGACAGAACAGTGCAGGATACTGAATAGACAAGAGAGAAATGGAAAGGTGGGTGGCAGGATATCTGAGGTGAGGCTGTGGGGATGAAGAATTTCTGAACAAAGTCAGGCCCAGGGCACAGCAGTTCAGAAGAGTGGGACAGGACATGTCCCTGAAGTGACTTGAGTTATTCAGCAAGAGAATATTAGCTGGCCTCTTTGTACTAGGCAATCATGTAGGCAAGATGGAATGATATGGTAGTCAGATATGGGTAGGAAAGCCAAGAGACCAGTAAGGGTATGTCCTCACCATATGAAGACAAGCAACAATAGTAATAGTCAACGGTGTTTATATGCTGTGCCGGTCTCTTTACAAATCAACCTAGTGATATAGGTTCTGTTTATTATTTCTATTTTATATATGGAGAACTGAGGCTGAGATGTTCAGAGCTGTGTCCCAGGTCACAGAGCTAGCTGAGCAGAGGCCTGGAATTCAGATGCTGGTGGCTTGGTTTAGGCCCCTTCCAAACACTAGATTTCAAGGTCTAAGAATTGGTGATACATTTTAAGTGATGGAGAGTGGCTAAGTGGATGGATGAATGGATAGACTAATTTAGTTGCCTTACAGCAACAAAAAGGCAGTAGTGAGCCTCTAATGTTGAAAAGTGACCTGGGAGCTGGATCGAGCTCCCAGTTGCAGTGAGAGCTCACATACCTCAGGTGTGATGATTTCTCTGCTCCAATGTGCCCTAGCCAGGCTGCTTCTCTTTCTTTGACTGTGAATTGTGGTTTTGCTTGCTATTTGGATTGACTTCAGGTGACAGCTGTTTCTTCTAACTCATGTCATCCTACAGGGTCAGGGTTGCCATATAAAATATGAGAGGCCTAGTTAAAGACAGATTTCAGATTTTTTAAAAAGTATACTTTTTTAGTATATGTCCCATGCAGTATTTATTTTGGATACAAATTTAGTCCTCCTTTATTTTTATTTGTTAAATGTTATAGTGTTAACATTATGGTCTCAAGATGCAGTTAATGAAATAAATCAGACACACAAGCTTAGCTATAGCGTGATTTCTCTTACACAAGAAACCCAAAATGTAAATAAATTAAAGAGCAAAATAAAAGCTCATGGGAAACAAGGCAATAGATCTTTTGCAAAAGAAAAAGTGACCAATAGATGGATAAAGGAGGGGTGGGAGAGGGAGGGGAAAGGGATGAACAAAGAGAATTAAGATGTGTTACATACACGTACCAATTGCCCATGATGAGTGTAATCATTATGTACTGCAAACATAATAATAAAAATAAAAATTTTAAAAATAGAGCTAAAAAGTAAATGTTACAACCCTATGCAGGGAGGAAGATGCACCTCAAATGAAACAATATCTTTTCTTTGTGTGTGATACTGGGATTGAACCCAGGGCTTTTGCACCAAGCGAATTTCCTAGCCTTCCCTATTAGTTTTTTGAGACAGAGTCTTGCTAAGTTATCATTTGGGCTCCAACTGCCTCAGCCTCCCAAAGCACTGAAATCACAGCTGTGCACAACCATGCCTGGCTTGAAGTCATTAAATTCCTAATTCAAAATTCCAGGGTCTCTAAAAATCAAGGGCTTCGAGAGTCAGACAGAGCATTGCTATTTTGAGTTTATTTTGGTTTCATTTACCAAACTCTCCTTTCCCCTTTCCTGGGATGGAGTGTGTGTCTCTGGGTATGAGTCCTCAGAGCGAGGGCTGTGGGTGAGGTTCCTCTTAAAGTTGGCAGCAAAGAGTATTAAGACAATGGCATTTTTCCAGGGTAAAGGAGCAGAAGTAAAAAAGGAATAGAGGAAAAAATTCCCAGAAATTTTTTGAAGGGTTACCAAAATGGGCTTGTTACATAAAGCATAAGCCAGAGTACAGTTATTTGGAAAATTATGTAGTAATGCAACATATAACAGACCAAATAACTAGCAATTTGAATTGGTCCAATTGTTCCTCCTGTATTCAGCAGTTAACGAGTAAGAACTGAGTGCTTATTGTATGTCAGATACTGTTCTGGGCCCTGGAGAAATTGAGGTAAACAAGATCAAGGTTTCCCTCCTCAAAGTTCAATGAGAGAAGACACAGACACATATTTGAAACATGGTGTGAAAAGTGTAGCCAGATAAAAGTATGATCAGAAGTGCTGGACTTGCGTTTATTGCAAAACCATCTTACAACAAGGTGAAGTTTAGGCAAACAAATATTTTCACCACTGTATCCTCCCACACATGCATAATAGATGATTTTCATTTGGTTTTATTTAAATTATATTCTCCAATTAGTTGCTGTTCTTTAAAAGAAGAAAACCAAAATTCAACAATACATTCAAATGTGATATATTTTACTCCATTAAGCTATGTACAGATAAAATTATTGCTTCACCTGCCAAATCCAACTTGTTGCTAATTTTTTGTAAAAAAAAATGAGAACACAACTATTTTCATGTTTTGTTCTATAGAACAGAGTGACTGCAACAGAAATTACATAGTTTACAAAGTCGAGAATATTTACTATCCTTTAAACTATACACCAAAACTTTACTGTTGATTTCGTTATTCAATTCTCAACACCCCCCAGGTTTATGTGTTCTTTCGTTTTATCACGATAGGGACACAACATTTAATAAGTAAATTGAACCTCCTAACACACTTCCATGTTGAAAAAAGACCCATGATAACTTTAAAACAACTCACGTGGACTAGTCTGTGTTGTCATTGACCACGTGTAACTGAAGCCAAGGGTTCGTGCAGCTGCGAGGAGCCCAGTGCACCGGCGCGCCAAGCTTTCGACACACATACTACGCAGGCGCACAAGCCATTGCACCTGCGTGATAGCTGGATGCCCAAGTCAGGACAGGTGTTCTGAAGTGAACTACAAAGCGACTGTTGTGAGTGAATTATTATTTCATTATTTGAAGGGCCAGTGATGGTTTAATTTCTGCCATAACCATAGAGCTTTAATAAGTGAGTCTGCCATTAGAATTCTGTAGTATCTAAGCCAAATAAGGTTTTTTAATCTGGTGTTCATTTAAGAAACTTCCTTTTCCTTTGTCCCAGCTAAATTCAACCAGCAACTGAATTCCTACTCTATGTGAACAAAAAGGTAAATAAGACAACGTTCTTGATTTCAGAGTGTTTACACTTTGCATGAGATGAAAAAGTTTTAGGAAATATGGTAATAAAATTTAAAAAGTGAGCTGGGCTTGGTGCTACACATCTGTAATTCCAGCACCCGGAAGGCTGAGGCAGGAGGATTGCCACAAATTCGAGGCCAGCCCAGGCTACAGAGTGAGTTTAAGGCCAGCCTGAACTACAGAGTGAAACCCTGTCCTGAAAACAAAAACAAAAAAAAAGAAGGTATCCTGTGAACAGAGAGGCTTGCTTAGTTCAAAGTGGAAATTGAAGAAAGATTTTTTGGTGATGGAGAGCCCTTATTTAGAACAAAGAGTTGACAAGATGAAAAAAGGGTGAAAGGGCTTTTTTCCATTGAAGAAGACTAAAGTAGAATCACTGTAGGGCAGACAGTATGGTGCTAGCAGAGAAACAGTATATTGCTAGGTGGTATCTGGAGTGATTGTGGCTGGAGAGCTACTGAGAAGCCAAGTCACAGAATTTTTTTTCTTAACAGCTTTAATTTGAAGGTGATGAGGCATTCCTTGAGTGTGTTAGCCAGAGCAATTCAGGCAGATATGCCTTTAAAAAAGAAAATACAGTGGACCCCCAAATTACAACTGGCCTGACATATGAACAACTTGGATTAATTAAGTTAATGGAAGATTTATCTGCCTCTCGTTATCTATAGCGTGTAACCCGGTAAACATCCAGAGCTCAGCTGTATTGACTTAGTTACAACCAGCCCTTGGGAACTGATCAAGTTTGTAAGTCAAGGGTGCACTGTACTAGAAACCTAGATGTCAATTCAGAGTCTGTTGGCAATAGTTGTAGCAGGGAGATCATGACAAATAGTGGGGACAAAAAAGATAAATGTAGGGAATAATTTAAAATACATTCATCAATTTGCAAATTTAGACTATTCACTGTCATTTGTGTTAAACATATCTCATTCTGAACCACATTTACGGACACATCTATTACCTAAAACAGAGGGATCCTGAGAAAATACAAGGTGTTTTTTTAGTTTGATATCACATTCTAAAGAAAAGAGTTTTAAAAAGTTTTTACTCTCTTGGCTGCACTTCTATCAATAATTCTCTCCCCTGAAAAGAAAGATTATGGTAGGAGGGGCTGCAGCTTAGTGATAGTGCATTTGCCTAGCATGGGGGAGGCCCTGGGTTCAATCCCCAGTACCACCAAAAAAAAAAAAGATTATGGTTAATAATTTGGAGGGCTGGGAATGTAGCTCAGCGGCACAGCATCTGCCTGACAAGCGCAAGTCTCTGAGTTCAATTCCCAGTACCAATAAAAAGAATAATTTGGAGTAAGTCACAAGATAGAATTAGTATTAGATTTCAGAGTGACTGTTAACCAGAGGTTAACATTTCCGCTCTCTCTCCTGTGGTGAGGGCATCATGAGGTGAATCCTGAGTGTGCATGCACATATCAAACTGTGCCCTGAGGATAAAGCAAGTTCTAATGTATGGGGAAAGGATTAAACATTTCTGTTTTCTGAAAAGTTATTTTGTATTTTGTTTTTTATTAAAATGTATTTATTTTCAAAAAAAAAAAACGTTTGTACTCTGGAACTCAATTTATGGGATATGGAAGCAAGAATAGTAACAGTCATTGTCACAAAGATCCTTAGGTTAACATTATGTCCTATTCTAATTAGATTGTTCACCTTTACTTGTGCCATCAACGATTGTTTTCAGTTAACTGTTCTTGCTTCCAGATATCTACTTTTTCTTTAACAAATTAGCACCCAAGTTTTATTAATTCCATCAACAGATGGTCCTGACACATACAAGTCTCACCATGAAAATGTTCAGATTTTTAATCAGGATGTTCTTTGGCCACACGAATTCTTCCCCAGCCTGCATAAATAACTTGAGGCCTGAAGCACTTCAATGAGGCTCAGGTGGCCAAGCTGTTGGCAAACATGAACTTCACCCTCCAATCTCCCACACACTATACTATACACAGAAAATTCCAAGAGCCAAAGGAAGAGATGAGACTAAACCCTTATTGCAAAGGATATCTTGGAGAACAACTACTTGTTTTAGATCCTGTGGCTGAGAAAGCTCCAAAGGGAAGGACTCTCCAAATGCTAGTGGGAGCCAATATTGTGACCGCAGCTTTCATCAGCTGCAGGTGATGGTATTTTTCATTAAACGTTCAAATTTCCTGATTTGCCATGACAAAGCTAGTGAGAGTTGACCACTCAGAATGAGCCACTTCTGAAACTCAGTTCTCTTAAACAGCAATTTATACACAACAACTTTACCAAATCATCACAAAGAGATCCAGTTCATGGTAGCCTCATGGCGAGACACGCAGGTCTCCTAGTTGCATGCTCAAGAGAATCTGTCATCTTCTCTGTGATATTGAAGGCCTTGATTTCTGCTAAATGTTTGTGAATTTCAAATACATGCAAGGTGTTGTGCAAGGGCAATGTAAACAGCCAAACTGGCACAGAAGTAAGCACATTTGACGATAGCCTTACAAACTGTCTCTTGCGCCAAAAAGTTTGAGTTATGTAACTGCAAAGATTGGCAGGTGTGAGAAAGTGATGTTCTATATAACATGAGGAGGAATATTGTGGGCAGATATTCAATTTAATCATTCACCTGGCTGTGAGCAAGGAGACTTTTGATGAAGCATGCACACGTTTAGGAGAAACATGACATATATCTGGATGTATTGGCTTCCAGCTCAATTGACTATTCCATAAACTGTGAACACTTCTTAGCCAGGAAGCCATAGTCTTTGTTATCACTGTGAATTCATTTGTGAGTACCACAGTGACAATCAAAACACAGAATTTTCCAAGATTTCAAATACAGGCTCTTCTACATAACTTATGCCTTCAATTTCTGTTTCACTGGAACCAGCTTTCTGAAAAACAAAATGTCTTCCATTAGATGTCTTTTAGCAAACATATCACCTCTTTGAATGTTTTTAATTGGTTAGCGGGGATTAAAATCAATTTAGTTGGTTGTAATCCCTGCTACTTTTCTTGTTGCTGAGACAAGATACCCAAAGTGAAAGAGGAAAGGTTTATTTAGTTCACAGTGGTAGCGGTTTCAGTCCATAATCATCTGGCTCCAAGGCAAGGAGGCGTGGCAGAGGGGCATAGCAAGAGAAACAATTCATGGGGGCAGAAGGTAGAAAATAAGGGAGGACCACAGATCTTTCTTCTCCAGGCTACTTAGGGCAAGCCGCACTCACACCCCTAATCCTAGTGCCCTCGAACCTAGCACTACACCATGAATCAGTTCCAGCATCACATATTCCAGATCCAGCCACCTCTGAAAAAGCTCCATTACGACCACTTGAGTCTTTGGGGGGACATCCTAAACACAAGCCATAACACTCTGTGTATCTCTCTCTCTCTCTCTCTCTCTCTCTCTGTCTCTCTTATTGGAAACTTTATATAAGAAGAGAATAAGTTGTCCTGAGAAGCCAGGCCATACTAAGCTTTGATATTAATCCTTTGCTAAACCAGCTTGTCTACCCTAGGTTGTTATTTTGCACACATGACTTGATTTTAATTAACAACAAACCTCAAGCTTATATGATAAACTCTTAACCCAGTTGCTTTCCCCAAACCCAGAATATGAAAGGAAATCTTTTAGGGCTGTGTAAGGAAATTAGATAGCAGCATTAAGATGTTCCATCAAGAAAGCAGAACAAAATAAATAAATAAAAATTTTAAAAAATGAAATCAGGACAAATGATGTCAGCCTGCTCTTTACATCCTGTGCTTCTCTCTTTTGGAGCAAAGAAAGACAGGCAACACACATTCTGATGAAACCATCTAAGGCTTCATGTGGAACACTCTCCTTCCCAAAGAGATATGAGTAAACAAAGCAGATGGGCCATTCCCCTGATAAATGAAAGCAGAGGGATAGAGCTTGGGCAGAGGGACTTTTCTCAGCCTCACTTCTCTGCCTTAATAGCTTAATGACTTTTCTATAAATGATTAAAAACACCAAAACTGAAAAACTCTAAAGAGAACTCACAGGTTGTTGAAATTTTATCATTTTGGTGAGATTTTCATCAAACTTTCCTTTTTCCCCATGATTGGTCACCTGTGGTCCAGCAATCTGTGTTACTTTATTGGAGAAAAATCTAAATTTGTTAAGAAAATTACGTGATCTAAATCAGGGGTCAACAAACTATAGCCAGATCTGGCTTGTTTTCTGTTTTTGTATATAAAGTTTTATTGGCGTAGAGCTGTGCTAATGTCATGCAAATTTTCAGTGAATGCTTTTTTAAAAATTTAATTGTATTGGTACATTTTAGGTATACAATATAATGACATTCATCATTGGAAATTTGCACCTTTTCATAATCTCTCTTGGTCTTTATTTTTTCCCTGTTCCCCTGCCCCCCCCACAACCCCTCTGACCCTCCATATTTACAAAGACTTTGTTTTCATTTTCTCTTATTAATTCCATTCCCTTCTTTCCTTTCCCCTCCCCCTTCCCCTTTGCCCCTTTTCTTCCTATTTCACATAATCTATTATACCTTTTAGTCCTTATTTACACTTTAAGTTTCTCACACTAGAGAAACTATTCGGTATTTACACATATGTGTCCTATTTATTGCACTTAAGAGTATGACCTCAATGTGCATCCATTTAGCTATAAATGTCTCTAATTTCTCTTTTTTATGTGAGTAGTACTCCATTTTATAAGGAAACCACATATTCTTTATCTAGTCTCCAGTTGATGGGCAATTGGGCTGCTTCTAAGTTTCAGCTATTACAAATTGTGCTGCTATGAACATGGGTGCACATATATCACTGTGGTATGATTCTTTTAATTCTTTGGGGAAGAT